AATATGGGCTTTTAGTAAATGATTCCTATATATGGTATTTATACTATTGAGCATTAGTAGTTCACATAAACATGCCCCGTATACAGAAATTATTATTATACTAAATTTTAAATTTTTTGAACTATTTTATATAATTCTGTAGAGTTAAAAATACTTTCAGTAAGTACGATAGCATAAGGTTTGCAGTAATCTGTACAGAACTGATTCAAATTGGTGAGAAAACCCCTGTGATCCAAATGGTTGTTTGTATATACTTAGTAAATTCAGCTTGTTAATTAAAGTAAGAATCAAAAGGACACCCAAACTAGTTGACAATATCTCTTTTTTTTTAACTTTCATATTAATTGAGCTTTTTTGATAGTCAATAAAACAATCACTCTTTACGTTGTTGGTGAAAGAGTGTATTATATGGCTCTTTTAGGAAATTCTTTGGCAATATTATTTAAGATCTTTGAAAATCTTTCTACAATTTGATCAAATATTTTGCTTGTAGGAATAGATCATAAGGATATAATCTTAAATGTGGAAAACTCTTAATATGGAAGCTGTTCATTGCTGCACTTTATCAAGTTACTCATTTCTGTGTTTCTCACCATTCTTCACTGTGTTCATCTCCTCTTCTCTCCATTTATTACTTGCCTCAGAAGCCCGAAACCCTGAAGCCATATAAATTGAGACTGAATAGGATTGTCTTGTGGGCTTGAGGTTTTAAGTAATTGCTACTACTACTAAAATGATACTAATAGTGATGATGGTGGTGATAATGATAACTTTTAGTGTTGATGGCTTGGCCATTGTATGCTGGGTCCTTCTGCCTCTGTGAGTAGGAGAGAAGATAGGTGCTAAATACTGGTCCCACGGGGCTGTTACTCATCTTGTCTGGTGAACACGAAGGAAGCAATGTGAAGCAGAAAAAAGAACTTACCCTTGAGACAGATTGTACTTATTTATAAGTGTGGTCCAATTTCTGTTTTGGAATTTGTACAGGCAATTTGCTTGTGTAAGAAGAAAGACATTGAGGATAAGAGTATAGGATCTTTCCCAAGACATGCTAATAACAGGCAAAATCCTTATTATTACCCAGGAAGAGCTGATCACAGCATCATGTTTCAAACACTGTATAGAACTGCATGATTTGAAAGCATATTTGAAATTAATACATAACAGAAGTTAAAATTGGTTAACTTTGCTTTGCC